AATTCTTGAGAGGCAAGTTAAACAGGTTTAGTAACTTCTTCTTTCATTTTCGAATTCCATAACTTTTTTCTTCGATTTCTTAAATGATCACTTCTCCTTTTGTTTTTGTTGCGAACCCATCAATAACAATGTAAATATTAGGTTTGATGTTTGTAGGTTTTCTAAGATCTTTTTCAGGATTATGTTTAACCATTTTTCTTGAGACAATCATGATATCTATCTAATTAACGTTTTACATATCGTCCTATACTTCAATTAAATGGTATAGTTGACTACACAATATAACTATTGATCTGGATCAATGCAATGTTCTATATAGTGAACTATTTTTTTATCACCATACATGATTGAATAGCTAACTATTCTTATATAACCAGCAAACTATTTTAGTTAACTATATTTTGTTATAAGTGTTATTTAGTTAACTATTTTGGTAAACATAGACTAAAAGATATACAATTGTAAAGATTATATAGTTAACTATATTATTACAATCGAATTAATTACTGTAAAAATTATACTATAGTTTACTATATTATTAATTGAATAGTTAACTACAACAATATAGAAAGTATAAATATAGTCAACTATACAAAGTAGAAATTTTAGCTAACTACAAAAAAGAATATAATCAACTATACAAACTTTTTTTGCTATTTGAGATCCACCGACTACAATAACATAGAAATTTTTTTAGGGGTTCTAGGGATTTTTTTGTTTCTACTACTTTCATTATCTGATTGTTTTTTTTCTTTTATTGTTGACATTTATTACTAAATTAAATAATTCTACGACTTTCCTTATTTGATTATTCTTTTTTATTTATTATTGACATTTTTTATCCAATTAAATAAGAGCAATTTCGTCCAAATATTTTACTTCTCTGCTACTCACCTAAATTCTATTATACCTATGTTACTCTCCTAATTATGTACCCCAAAAGTAATATTAAACTAATTCACCCTACAAAAATGGGAAATTTTGAAAATTTGGCTCTCTACTGCAACTAACATCATCATTGATGATTTTAGCAAATATCATATTTTTTTTTATGATATCACACTATTTATTTAAATCACACACACTAAAGGATATACCTTTTATTTATCACTGCATATATAATTTTTTTTAATTGGTTTTGATCAAAACTTTGGTTATCTAGCAAATAAATTCAGATTATTGATGGGCAACTCGAACATATATTTTACTTTGTGGGTTGATTGCTTAATTGTATTTGTATTTATTCTTGACAAATTCAAAAAATATCACTTTACAAAAATGCCACATTTTTGAAATCTTTACAAAAATGCTACTTTTTCAAAATTATTTTTTCTTTATATTATTTATGTTTAGGTTAACTATGTTCTATTAGGGTTTATTTATGAGGATTTATGAGGTTTATGGGTCAAAACATTTTTTAAGATATAGTGTTTAAAAATCTATAAGTAGTGGCATTTTTGTAAATGAACACACCTATATGGCATTTTTGCAAATATACACATAAAAATTGATATTTTTGCAATTTCTCCGCTATTCTTTATGCCTTACCTTCCATGTTTACTAATAAAAAAACCTTTTTAATATTCTGATACTTGACAGAGCAGTGAAGCAAAGAAGAGGAGGACGTTTGCGGTTCAAAACGCCGTCACAGCGGCCTAAAGTTTCAAATCTCCAAAACTCGCGATTTCAAATCGCAATGGCCCAATAAATTAAACAGGCTTAAAGGCCCAATTAACCAGGCTTCAAAAGTAACAAGGCTACACAACAATTATCCTAATCACGTCTCTTGTTGTTGATGACGTGGCTACATTAAAAAGAGTAAACGGATTAACGAGAAAGCCCGGTAATGACGTGGCACATCTCTCTAGAAGCAACTCCATTCTTCGACTGCTTTCATTTCATCTTTCTAAAATTTCGAGAAATGTTGAACTTGCATGGT